GCACAGGACGCTCGTGAGTCAAGTGTAGACACAGCACATCCCGAGCGGCGCAACACCTTGTACTTTGGTTAGCTGGGAGAGTAACACAGACTGTAAATGCACCACAAGCTGTCCTGTGCAGAGGTCTGAGGTAAGAGCTTCTCCTTGGAAGTCTACCCTAGACAAGGTAAGAGCTGTGAAGAGTGGAGAACAAGCTGGGAATGATTCTTCACGTGTCTGGTATCTGAAAGATGCTGTTTCATACACCGCTGAAGGCAGCGGCACCAGAAAGCACCAAGGACAGACACTTGTGCTCTGTGGGTCTTACTCTCCACATCTGTCACAACTGTTACCAACAGAGCTGCAAGTGCTGGGAAAGGAGCAGGTAGGAAATGTAGCTACAGTTCCCTTTGCACAGCATCTTGGGGTCCTCAGCAGCATCAACCTTGACTTCCACCACTCTCCCCCAAAGCATTTTGCACACAGCCACTATCTCCCCAACTTAAGCCAGAAGCTGCTTTCCTGGCTTGCTCAGGTAACAACTGATCTGTGTTCCCACTCACCTGGAAGTCCACAGCTCTCTTGGTAGCAAGGTCTGCCTTGTTTCCTGCTAGTGCAATTACAATATTGGGGCTAGCCTGCCTCTGCAACTCTTTCACCCAGTTCTTGGCTCGTACAAATGTGTCCTGGAAGCAAACAGGAGGCAGCAGTCAGGAAGGGCAGCCTCTTATCCACACTGAAGATATGATTAGAACAAGTCTTTCCTGTCAGAAGTGTTCTGCCTCTACAGCACTTTAGCAGGATCCTTTATCAGCTTAGACAGCCTTGGTCAGAACTGAGGGAAGGTCATTAGCAATGTCCAGGAAACTTGGCACCTGCAGGCAGGCATCTGCAGGGACTCTGAGCCTGGACACTCTCCCAGGGAACAGACAGCTCCTCCCCAGTGAGCACCCAGAGCCCCCCACAGTACTCACTGTGTTAGTGATGTCGTAGACAACGATGGCTGCCTGGGCACCTCGGTAATACATGGGTGCCAGGCTGTGATACCGCTCCTGTCCCGCTGTATCCCAGATTTCAAACTTCACCGTTGTGTCATCCAGACAGACTGTCTGTGTTAGGAAGGCAGCTGAAAGAGAAGGGCTGTGTTTGCCTCACCTCCAGCTGGAGAGCCCCTGCAGCAGGAGCCAGCAGCTTGGAGCAGTTCTGCTTTCACATGGGAGTGAGCAGAAGCCCCAGGTGAAGGCCGGGGTGGTGCCACTTGTGGAAGTTGAGTTGTTGTATCATCACACAGGAACCCCAGAGCCACCAAGCAGCCAACAGGAAGGTGGCCCTGAGAGCCCTGGCAGCAGCCAGCCACCAGAGCAGCAGCAGTGCCAGTCCCTTCCCCAGCAGCCCCCCCTCACAGATGAGGCTGTACAGCTGCAGCATCGCTGGGATGAGCTTTGGAGAGCACCTCAGTGCCAAAGCACAAAGTCAGCCCAGTCACACTGCACTCCCCAATTTAGCAACTGGTTATTTTCCTGTTCCAGCGAGTATAATACCAGGCATTACAACCAGGATGAAGGAGGCAACCAGCCTTGGATACAGATTGAAGCAGAACAGCAGAGTGCCCACACAGTCCTCTGCAGCACAGCATCAAGCCCTGCTTGCCCATAAGTTACACTTACAGCTACACTTGCCCCCTGCATGGGTCACTACAGGGACAGATCAAGCTTATTCTCAGCACACCCCTCCCAATATCACTGCCCAGAGGCCCAGGCACTGACTGACCTTTGATTGGTGACACTGTGCTAATGATTTCAAGCTAAAGAACTACTCCAGAGCTCTTTCAGGTTGTATTGGGTAGTTAACTGTATCAGACTAGAAACAGCCCCAGAATCCCAGGTCATGGTCTGAAAAGATAATTAGGGGCTATAAACCAAGCTGAAGGCCTCAGCTCTAATTAGAAGCAGGAATTGAAGCACTGGAAGCACAGATGCCTCGGCAGCAGTGTGCACGGTTGCCATAGCATTATTCTCTGCTGCACTGATCTTCACACCAACGAGCAAGTTGTAAACCAAGAGTTAAAGCATCAGCTGCTTTACTATTTATAGCAAAAAACCCCAGACCAGACTGAAATAGCCATTAATAATTCTGACACCCCTGGACTGCCTTTGTGAGGCCCAGCATCTTCTAGCCATGAGTATTGGGAGCTGGCACTCACCTCCAATCGTGCTCTCCTGGTACTCGTGGAACTGTCCCTTCACGAAGCGCAGGACAAGGCTGGACTTCCCCACCGCCGACTCTCCCAAGAGGACAAGTTTAAACTGGCAGATTTTGTTCCCAGCAGCTGGTCCATTCGGTCGAGCAGCTCCACCTCGACCTGCCATTGTGGCCTAAGTGCAGGAGTGCCAAGAGTTAAGGATGCTGCAGGTTCTGCACTGGGATCCACCTGGAGGCAGGTTGCAACTGGAAGAGGAGGTGAGAGTTAGTGACACACTCATGGACCAGTTGTACCAGTTCTAGAGGGTGGGTTTGATCTGCAGCCACCATCAGTACAGGCAGGTGGTGACTCCTTCCCACAGTGGAGAGTTATCAACCCCATGTACCACAGCACTACCGGGCAGTTTCTGCCAGTCAGCAGCTCCTCAAGAGAATCTCAGACCTCTGAGCCTCCTTGGAGAAGGGCCATTGGTAACACAAGCTTTGCTCCCCACCAGTGGACCCTCCAGCACTTCCACTATGTGTGGATGTTACACACACCTTGTAGGGTGAGGCAAGTACAGAACAGCCAGCGCACCACCTGGTGTTATTAGAGCTTCATCTATTGAAACAACAATTACTCAGTTCACAGAGGTAACTGAGGTCGACCTTTAGCTCCTTCCTCCTCTCCCAAGCTCACAAGGCAGCAACTTCAGACTATCAGCACAACACAGATGTTCAAGGGCCGTGTGTGAGCCATGATGGGAAGCAGCGCTGCGTGTCGGTCCCGCAGATGACAAGGCACTGGGACAAAGGGAGTTTCTATATCCAGCCTGTTCCTTTAGAGCCACCCACACTGATCTGAGAGCAGCTCTTTGAATCGCTGCACGAGCGGCCGCGGGGAAGTCACCGGGTAGCAGCCACTCTCCGGGCACAGGCTGAAAGCAACTGCTGCCACCCCTGCTGCAAAGGGACACTCACCACCAAACACGAGGCTCAACAGCCCGATCCAACACCCAGTGCCTGCCCCTTCCCACAGCCTGGCCCAGCCGCCTCACTGCCCTTATTCCACATCACTCCAGGTCATCAGGCTACTGGCCACGTTCTTCATGAGAAGACTCTTCAAATCCAGCTGTGCTCAACAAGACAAACAGGCAGCATTGCCCAGGATCAGAACAGCCACCTCACCTCCCCAGCACCACATCTCTCAAGCTGTGCAGAGCCCCAAACCATGCCAAGAGCAGCGAGCCAGGCTGTCCAGCATCCACAGGTAACTGCCAGGGAAGTCTCGGTGCCTTCCCGACCATCCAGCTCAACTGCAGGCCACAGAGAACAGGAGTGCTTTCAGAGTGCACAGTTACACAGATTTAGCCCCATTTCCTCTTCTCATCACAACTCCCACTTCCTGAGAGTGATAAATGTTACAACCCATTGTACCTGCTCTGTGTCGCCACTTTTCCTTCGTCTCTCACAACCAAAGTTTCTTGGTGACAGAGACAACTGAAAAAAAAAACCATCCCCAAGAGCTATTTTCTTTGTGCTGAGTTCCAAGTGTACCCCCAAGGAAACTCTGGGTACGCTCAGAGTACATCCAGCATTTACCCAGCAAATACCAGATTTCTGTGAATAAGCAGCTTAAAGCAAGTTAAACTGGGTCTGAACTGGAGCAGTGTCCTGGGAACAAGGTTTAGGCCTGCCTCAATACTGAGCCTTACCAAAGGAGTTACAAATACCTGCCCCTGACTGCTGTGAGGCAGCTTTAACCACATCTCAAGTTTAAACTCAACCCACAGGCAACCTACAGCCACTTCAGCCCAGAGCTCATCCAGAGGGAGAGCCTGTTAGTGTTATGGCTGGAGACCATCTTCAGCTTTCAAAACACAAAAGCACTAAAGCACTCTCACCTACAGAGACATTCAACCTCCCATGGTTTTGACCAGGAGATAAGTCAGAAACCTGCTGTTAAGCCAGTACCTGAAGCCAGCAGGAAACCTTGAGGAGTAACTTCTCAGGGCAGTGAGAGGTTTCGGTCGCCTGAGCTGTGAAGGTCACTGATTTGAGCAGCCCGTCCAGTCTTGAACTAAGTCACTAAAGAAACTCCAGTTCAGAGCTGGGTCCTTGCAAAGGTTTGTAAGACTGTCAGGACCCCCCTCCTCTTCCAAGGAAGGACAAACAGTTTTGACAGGATGAGAAAGTTTGATAGGAAGCAAATTAGCAGCTTGTTTTGCCGGACAGTGAGGAAGCGGCGTTGTGCAGCTCTGGGCAGGAGCAGTTTGGTGAGCACCAGGTTCGAGAGACACATCAGCAGCTGCACATCTCCATCAGCCTGAAAAATGTTTCCACTTTTTAGAGTTTCTCCTCTAACCAGAATTTGCAAGGGAACAGCTTTTGCTTGTTTAACCTTGTGTTTGTGTGCCAGGGCAGCCTCTCAGCAGCACACAAGCTCCGTCCCTGCTTCAGACAAACATTCTGCACATTAAATGCCATGTGAATCTGCCTCTACTGAAATATGATAGGGGTGATTCCCAGAGCAAAACAAGGAAACAAGCCTGTTGACATCCTCAAGTCTTAGTGTGACCTATATTTCACAGATCTCAATTAATTTTGCCATCTGGTTGTGCCACATGAACTCTAACAGAATTAAGCAAGCACGTCTGCATGTCCAGCTCATCACGGAGAGCTGCTGATCAGAGCAAGCAGTTAGACACTGTGACCACTTAATTATGGGGAACCTGATCACCATCTAAAGATGGTCTGAAGCTTGGTTGCAGGATTACATGACTTCATGTCCACCTGAGAAGCTGCCAGATCTTTAGGATGTCTGGGTGGCAGTTCTGATGACCTTAATGCAGCCACCTCACCCAGGGAGGGTCTCAGGCTCAGAACACACACGAGAGCAGAATGACCAGCTCAGCATTTCTGCTGCTGTTCACAAGACCACCAAATAGCTGAAGTGAGTGACTACCAAAGCTGTAGACACCAAGAACTCTCCACTGCAGGAGGATCAGTTTGACACTTTTTGCAAATGTCAACATCTTTGAGGATTTCCAGGTTGGATGAGGCTTTGAGCAACCTGGTCTAGTGGAAGGTGTCCCTGCTGCTGGCAGGGGGGTTGGGACTGGATGAGCTTTAAGGTCCCTTCCAATCCAAACCATTCTGATTCTATGATTTCTACATTCCTGTCAGAAACAGAGCTCCACTCTGCTGAACACAGAGCTAACAGGCAGCTCAACTACCCAGCCTGGATCCGTGCTGGATCAGCCCACACCAACCAGTTTGGGAATCAGGGAGGGCTTCCTGCTGTATGAAGCCATTTCTGATGATCAGAGAGGCCCTTCATCCCCACTTCCAGAAGAGTGGATGGGGCACACACCCCTCCCTGCTCCCCATCACGGTGCTGACACTCGAGCCACGGGTCAGTGTGACCAGAACACCCACAGTGACACCGCGCAGGCAAGTGAAAGCAGCTGAAGCTGCAGCTTGCCATCTGCATTCCAGAAGTCAAGACCATGAGAAGGAAGGGTGTGATACTCACGTAATCCAGATTAACAAATACTACTTTTCCTACGAGCTGCTTCTAACTAGTGGAACTCAGCAGCTCATGATGTCACAAGATCCATAAGAAGGTTTGTGCTGGTTTGTTTGCCCGCCCTACCCACCTCCCGCTCACTGAAGCGCGGGCAGGAGCTCTGCAGCACCAGGTTTTTTATTGTAAACTCTTGGACCAGTCTCTTGTTTGCTTTGAGATCAAAGACAAGTTTCAGTGCCTCATGATGTCCAATAATCAAGAATTCCAGGTCTATCACTTCTGCAGTTCATGCTCCTCTCAACACCTCACCCCTCCCCCAGGATCTGCTGTAGGGACTCATCCATGAACACTGAACTCAGGAATGTGAGTGCCCTCAAAGAGGGAGCACGTGCCAGCACCGCTGTGTTCCCAGCCTACCCAGGAGCAAGGCAGCTCTCCAGGGCTGTCAGGATGCTCAAGAGCAGCACAAGAGTTCATTTCAAACAACCCAGCCCAGGACAAGCACCCAAATCTCTACAGGGCAATTACTACCAGATCCCTGTGTATCAGAATTGCTTTGCCAGACTCCCTGTCACAGGGAAGCTGCAAGTTTAAGGTGTCAAAAGTTACAGAATCTGATATTTTTACCCTGTGTTCACCCAGTAGCAAGGACTACTCTGAAAGCTGCTGATATTTAGAAACCCAATCCTAAAGAATCTAGTTACCCAAGAGGACTGCTTCTGCTCTCAGCTATGCAAGAAACCATTTCACTGGGGATTTGTTGGCTTCAAGTCAAAATACTCAAGACAAAAGCCCCAGTGAAGTATTTATCTTGTAAATAGCTGACAGCATTACATGAATTTCTTGGCAAAGCAACCCCTGAAGTTACTGAGTGGTTTTGCTTCACCTAACACTGAATGGGCAGCCAGCCACCGCCAGCAGGAAGCTGGTGCTACCTTGCTCCCACCCACAGCTGCCCAGTCAGCTTCAGGATCCAGATTCACAAGCAGATTCCACCAGCAGGACCAGCAGCAAGTGTGGGACCCACCAGAACCCCACACAGACTCCACCAGCCCAGATTAGCACGGTGTGGAGCGCCAACCTGATTTTCCAAGACGTTAATATGATTAATAAGAACAAACTTGCAAAGCCTCACAGCAGCAGGGTCCACACTGCAGAGAAAGTAGCAACAGATCCAGCTCCTCCTGATGAGATGAGCCAGGAAACAGACCTGGAGTACAGACCTCAGTGCCTCAGCCCCTAAAGGCTGATCAGTTTTAATGCTTCACCTCTCCACAGACATCATGCACTTCCCTCCACAAACAAAGAACACTCAGTCTTGGTCACTAAGGCTGTAACCTGGAGCTTGGAATTGGGGAACCAGTCATTGCAGTGGTGCTACAGCCTTAGAACGTAGATCCACAGAGCTCAGCAGCTCAGTCAGCAGTTTCAGAAGCACTCCCATGGTTTTTACACTGTCCTAACTTAAAGTTACAAGTTCCCTGTAGCATCTCAGGCCCAAGCCTCCCAAAGACTTGGACACACTCATTTTAATTTAGAGGTATATAGGATTTTCATCAGCAAAAAGTTAACTTATTGTTGTTGGTAGCTAGAGTCCTGAACAAGTGTATCAGAACCTGTAACTCCAGCTCCTTCTCATGCTTTTAAACATGCCTCTGTTTCCTGACATCTGCAGAGCCACGGCCTCCAAAGCGGCCCCAGCAGCCGGCTGTTTTTCAAAGCAGCTTTTCAAAAACAA